ATAAATCATTGGAGCAACTAGGGGTATGTGGAGCGGGCCCAGGACCGATCCGGAAGACGTGGCTGAGGCCGTCCGTAGGGCCCTGAACTGGAAAAGTCCGGGGCTTGACGGGCTGCATCATTACTGGATGAAAGAGTTCGTAGTGTGTCACACTGTGCTCGCCCGACAGTTTCAAGAGGCCCTCGTCCAATCTGGTTCTGCCTCTCTTTGAACCCTCTCGGTACTTTACTGGAGGGCTCTAGGAGGAGATTTCAGCTTCGGAAGGGAGGTACAAAAGTGACCCAATCTTTCTATATAGATGACCTCAAGTTATTCGCCTCCAGTCGCTCCCATCTTATGGAATTGCTAAACATCACTTTTGAATTTAGCAATTCTATTGGAATGGAGCTGGGGACGGATAAGTGTGCGGTTTTCAATGTTGAGAGGGGAAGGGTTGCTAACTCTGAGGACATAGACTTATCTATGCCTTTCAACTTAAGGACTCTTTCCGAGGCTGAAACATCTCAATACTGGGATGGTTTCACAGAACATCGGTATCGACGAGGCTGGTATGAAACATTCAGTCTGCGATGTGTTTTATGCACGTTGGACCTAAGGGCTTTACAACCTTTTGTCCGATGTGAATAAGATACACTCATATAAAGATGTTACATCTCTTTGCGTATTTTATCGCATCTATCACTGGTAGTGCTCTAAGGAATTGTTCGGATTAATCCCAGCTGCCAAATTTCGTGAACGCACTACACGGCAAACGTCCCGATACCATCCACACCATCTGGATGCATGGCGGTCCACCACTGTACGTTTCACAAGAATTTTTCTTCCGTGTACGACCTGTCTCTGAAATAGTTTACCGCCGGCGATTTTTCCGGACTGATACGATCTGGGGACCTTCAAGAAAAGAGCTTACCTTTCTAAAGAACCTGCAACGCACCATCAATTCCCTTGGTGTTGCGGTTGATTATGGGCAGGGGTGGTCATTTAAAATCAGGTTAGCTGCATGCTCGTTTGCCCCCTCTTCTATAAAAAATACAGTTGCCTCCCTCAACTGGCTACGTTTCGGTGACCTCTTCAGGGAAACCTGAGTACTTGCACAGGCACGTACAGTCAAACCCTGGATGACACCAGGTCCGACCGAGCCTTGCATAAACAACGACTCCACCATTTTATATAGGATTATTACGGGTAGCCAAAGACGCAAAACTATCAATATCATCATTTCATCATCATCATTACAGCCTTTCACAAGTCCACTGCTGAACATAGGCCTCCCCCAAGGTATGCCACAAAGCATGGTCCTGAGCCACCTGCATCCATAGACCTCCTGCATATCTTACCAGGTCATCACTCCATCCTACACTTCGCCTACCGGTACGAGGCTGCCACTTGAGACCCTTTTTCCCCAACGGTTGTCGGTTCGTCGAGCTATATGGCCGGCCCATTGCCACTTCAGCTTACTAATCCGTTTGGCATTGTCAGTCACTCTGGTTCTACTGCGGATATCCTCATTTCTAAGTTTATCACGCAGAGAAACTCCGAGCATAGCCCTCACCATAGCTCGCTGAGCGACTTTGAGCATCCTCATACGGCGAACAGTGAAGGACCACGTCTCGGTTCCGTAGGTCATCACTGGTAACACGCACTGGTTGTACAGCTTAGTTTTCAGGATTTGAGGTATATCTGACGAGAAGATGTGTCGTAATTTCCCGAAAGCTGCCCAGCCGAGTTGAATCCGTCGATTGACCTCTCGGTCGAAGTTGGACTTACCTAGTCGGACTATTTGTCCCAGGTAGACGTACTCGTCAACAACTTCGAGCTTCGTAACTACAACTACCGGCATAGGTGTGACATGAACATTAAACATGATCATTGTTTTGTCCGTTTTCATCTTAAGACCTATCCGTTGGGAGGCACTATTGAGGTCATTGAGCATAGTTCTTAAGTTCTCCAGCAATTCTGCCATAAGAACTATATCATAGGCAAATCTAAGGTGAGTTATGTACTCGCCATTGATGTTAATACCGTATCCTTTCCAGTCCAGTAGCTTGAAAACGTCTTCCAAAGCAGCGGTGAAGAGTTTCGGGGAAATAACGTCACCCTGTCTTACACCTCTCTTCAGTTGGATAGGTTTCGTACTCTGGTTCTGTACTCGGATAGTCATCGTAGCCCTACTATACAAACACTTCAGCACTTCGATATACCGACAGTCAACTTGGCACCGCTGAAGAGACTGTAGCATCACCCAAATTTCGACGGAATCAAAGGCTTTCTCATAGTCCACATATGGCAGGCAAAGTGGCAGATTGTACTCTTTGGACTTCTGTACAATTTGCCGAAAGGTATGTATGTGGTCTATGGTACTAAAGCCTTTCCGGAAACCGGCTTGTTCGGGAGGCTGGAAGTCGTCGAGATGTGGAGTTGTTATAGCTAATTTAAGCCAACACTCGTTAAAGACCAAGATATCCATGTTCACCTGAGTTACGTTCATCATAATGATAAATTCATGAACATTTTAGTTAATACTACGAATGTTATGATGAATAATTTTGAGCGCAAGATTTGGTTTTGTTACAAAATCAAGACATTTATCCGGCGGGCAGCTATAAATTTTCGCTACTGAAAATGAATCAAATAGAGATATCATTTAAGTCTGCGCCTTTTACTATTTCTAATAATAGGATGTTGCACTTGAATTGATCGGAAAATAAAAATTTCCTTGACAAGTAAAAGAAACTTATCACTAAGAGCATAAGGAACGTTGTGCTGTATAAATAAATCGTTATATTACTTTTGCTCATTTTGGTAATTCTACACTCTAGTAGTCGGCAGACCACTCCACATGTTGGTCACCTCGTGAGCCAGGTTCAGGTATTTTGGTTGCCTATCTGTTTCGGATTTCACGAGGTTCTCGTCATACGGAATGGTAATGTCGACCAAAAATATCCTCGACTGTGCCCGATCCATCAGCACAATATCAGGGTTATTCGCAAGAATAGTCCCGTCTGTGATGGTGGCCCGGTCCCAATAGAGCCTGACGCGATCATTTTCGAGCACGGCTTCCGGCAAGTACTTGTAACACGGCAATTTCCGATCCATGCGACCGTATTTCAGAGCGAGCTCCTGGTGAAGAATTCTGGCAACTAGGTTGTTCGACAAGCTCGACAGATGTCGATGGTGCCATCCTTTAGGATGTATCTCCGATAGTTGTTGGTCTTAATAATCTGATCCTGTATTGCACAGACAAACCCCTCGGTTATTCCAACCGAAACGTATCACCGAAACATAGCCACTTGACGTAGGTGACTGTATCTACGAAAGGCTCATGTAGAGGCCTGTAGTACCTTCCGTGGAGCTCCTTCTCCTACCATACGGTCTCCCGGTCGGAAATGCTAAGCACTGCTGGGTCCTGCCATTGCTCGTTGGCTAAGGATAGAGGTAAACCCTTTATCACTAAAAATTACGTCATTATAGAATGGATCATCCGATCTCGCCAGGAAGTAATCACGGATGCTGCACACTTCGCGATTATGCGTGGTGAGTGCGCTCAAGAAGCCATGCCCACCATGCTTTTGCGGCAAGTACAGCCTCATTAATCACTAACATTCATTAACACATCGCGAACTAACTGTTTCATACCAGCCTCATCGATACCGATGTTCTGTGACATACCCAAGTATCGGTATGTTTCAGCCACGGAAAGGGTCCTTAAGTTGACGGGCATAGATAAGTCTATGCCCTCCAAGTTAGCAACCCTTCCCCTTTCAACATGGATGGCCGTATACTTATCCGTCCCCAGCTCCATTCCAATAGAATTGCTAAATTCAAAATTGATGTTTAGCAATTCCATAAGATGGGAGCGACTGGAGGCGAATAACTTGAGGTCATCCATATAGAAAAGGTGGGTCACTTTTGTACCTCCTTTCCGAAGCTAAAATCCCCTCCCACAGCCCTCTAGTAAAGTACTGAGAGGGTTCAGAGAGAGGAAAAACCAGATTGGACTCAGACAATCGCCCTGGAAGATACCCCTTCTTATCCTTATGTGGTTCTCCGCAGCCATCATCCGCTCACCCAGATAGCAAAGGATCGCACTCCACTGCCCCAGACACTGTTCGAGGAAGTCTCCAACTGTACAGTCTATCTTGTACATCTGGAGGACTCTCTTTAGCCATGTATGGGGCACCGAGTCGAATGCCTTTCTGTAGTCTATCCAGGCGGCGGAGAAGTTCCAACGGTTACGTTTCACCACTTTGCCAATGACCGCGTCAATGAGGAGTGGTTCCTTGGTTCCACGACCACCGCCTCGACATCCATTTAGAGCGCGTGACATCACCTGATTTAACTCCAGGTTACGAGTGATTCTCGCGCTCAAAATGGATGTCAATATCTTATATATGGTGGGTGGACACGTGATGGGGCGGTATTTGCTCGAGTCTGTGGTATCCTGATCTTTAGGAACCAAGTGAGTGATCCCAGTAGTGAAGAGGCTCGGGAGCGACTTCTGATCGAGAGCCTCTTGAAACTGTCGGGCGAGCACAGCGTGATACACTACGAACCCCTTCAGCCAGTAATGATGCAGCCCGTCGAGCCCCATACTTTTCCAGTTCGGGGCCCTACGGACCACCTTAGTCACGTCTTCAGGCGTTATGGTGACGGGGTCCATAGGCATAACACTTGCACTCTGGCTCGCCACAACTTCCATCCAAGGGCCCTCGCTGTGGTTTACGGGCTCTGACCACAGGCCACGCCAAAATGCGACCGTGTCAACCTGATCCGGTCCTGGGCCCGCTCCACATACCTCTGGTCGCCCCAATGATTTATAGAGCCTCTTCTGATCACTCTGGAAGAGACGATTCTGGTTGAACCGCCTTGACCTCTCGCTAAATCGTCGAATTCGCTTCCCCCATTCAGCGATTTTTTGCTTCAGGTCATCTATGCGCTCCGTTAGTTTCTGCGTGATATCCGGCTGGGACAAACTAATATTTGTCCCAGCAAACGCCATTCTAACGATGCGCACAACTCTCGGTTTTATTATTACCCGACCTGAAGCTTGTCAGTCTGCCGATAAGGGCCCTTGCCTTTGCGATACGATCCTTGATTCTTTTTCTCCAGGCTGGGATGGCGCTACTTTGTTGAGTAGCACGTCCAGCCATGAGAAGTTTGGTGTCAATAATACGGCATACTGCCAGTGCGGCGCCAAAAGGAATTGAGTCGATCTCGCAAAGGTCCCGGTTGGCTTCCAAATAGGTCACCAGCATTGGGTTAAGAGCCTGCACGACAGCCCGATTTCGCTTGCTAAGTGGTATGAGGGGAAGTCGCTGTCGATTTTCGAGAAGCATGCTGCGCGTTTCCAGCATTGACTCTTCCAATATACTCCTCATTTTCTCTAGTTCGTGGGAGAATATTCCATCATCGTCTGAATTAACCACAAATGGAATATTGACGGCAGCATCCACATATGCAGTTTGCTGCGCCGCATTCCCAGCCGTACCGTTTCCATTCGATGAGAGAACAGCCTCACGTCGTAGTCGTTTGAGTTCGGCGTCACCAAATATGTTGGAGCGCAGGACGTACCGAACTTGGTCTGCCAGGTTTTGCTCAGTGCTCGGATAGAGACGGCTCCAGCTCTGCAAAAAAGCGATGCATCCGAGCCCGATACGCCAAACATCCAGTTTCTTAGTGCGTTTGCGTTCATTAATTGTGACCAACGCATGCGACGTGCTTCAACAGCGGCGGGTGCCGCTTGCTGAGTCCGAGAAGACCCAGCCGACACCAAGCCTTCTTGTGGGGATGATGGATGCGGGGGGCTGCTAGATGGTCTTGCAGCACCCCGCGCTCGGCTGACGGCCCGCACACTGTCGCATCCAGCGCCAGCTCCAGACAAGCCCTAGCAACCTCCAGGCAGCGGCCCTTTGCGCACTATCTTTTTTTCCATCATCCATAAATTGGGCGTCCATTAATTGCGTTGACGTAGCAGTTTTGTCACTTAACTGTTACGTCAGCGGGCGATGGGGTCGTCAATTCCCTACGCCATTAAACATTATTATTATTATATTATTATTATATTATATACTATTATTATTTTGGGGGGGTACCTATATAGTTTTCTCATATGGTTGGGTTCTATAGATATATAATTATAAATGAAAATGAAAAGATAAATATCAATCAAATAAAATAAATACAAAAATATATAATTAAATAAAAGCCCAACCAGATAGAAGCCCTCGGCAGGGGAGACCAAACGGCCGAGAGTTAGGAGGAAAGGGAAAAAACCGGCGGACGATGCGGCCAGTATCGAGGAGCACCGCCTTCTGCATTTGAGCCTGGAGCGGTCCGCCACGTAGTTCCAGCCGCCTCAGATGACCCGAGAGGTTGACTGGGATTAGCCCGTTTGCAGAGACGACTGCAGGAATAATTTCGGTCGGCAGACCACCCCACATGCCGGTCACCTCGTGAGCCAGGTCCAGATATTTTGTTTGCTTATCTTTTTCGGCTTTCACGAGGTTCTCGTCATACGGAATAGTAATGTAGACCAAAAATATCCTTGACTGTGCCCGGTCCATCAATATAGGGCTTATTCGCAAGAATAGCGATCATTTTCGAGCACGGCTTCCGGCGAGTATTTGTAATACGGCAGTTTCCGATCCACGAGACCGTATTACAGAGCGAGCTCCTGGTGAAGAATTCTGGCTACTAGGTTGTGCCTGTGCAAGTACTCAGAGTTAGAAAACACCGAACAACCGGAGATGACATGCCTAAGTAACTCACCGGGATGGCGACAAGCTCGACAGATGTCGACGGTGCCATCCTTTAGAATGTATCTCCGATAGTTGTTGGTCTTAATAACCTGATCCTGTATTGCACAGACAAAACCCTCGGTTTCCCCGAAGAGGTCACAAAAGGCTCATGTAGAGACTTGTAGAACCTCCCGTGGAGCTCCTTCTCCTTCCATACGGTCTCCCGGTCGGAAATGCTCTGCACTTCCGAGTCTTGCCATTGCTCGTTGACTAAGGATAGAGGGGTAAGTCCTTTATCACAAAAAATGACGTCCTTATAGAATGGATCATCCGATCTCGCCACGAAGTAATAACGGAAACTGCACACTTCGCGATTATGCATGGTGAGCGCGCTCAAGAAGCCACGCCCATTTCGCGGCAAGTACAGTCTCATTACCGACGATCTCGGATGATGCATCCTATGGGACGTCAGGGTAGTGCGGACTTTTCTATCCAGGGCGTTAAGTTCAGTCTGAGTCCACCTGAGTATGCCAAAGGTATACATGAGGACAGGCATGACCCAACCGTTATGTGCGTGTGCCTTATTCACACCGACAAAAGGCTGTTAAGCACTTTGGTCAAGCGTGCATAAAACACGTCGCAAACTGATTGTTTCATACCAGCCTCATCGATACCAACCAATTAAATTGTATGTGTATGTAATTGAGTATGTGTTGTGTAAATAATAAGTTGAAGTGCACGCAACAAAAAATATATATATGTATATATACATGTTAACAAACATCATAAATTGTAATAAGTAAGAATTAATCTTATGTTTATATTATAATATCGGGAATAAGCTTTAAGTATGCCAATTTAAATAAACCTAGTCATTTATCTTTTAATTTTAGAAGTTGATCTTCTTTATCAATACGTATATATGGCGTACCGTCGGTTTTTCTGATGTATATTCTTCCATTAGACGTTCAGCACCAAAACGCATAAATACTCCTTGTATTTATGCGTTTTGGTGAATTCTCTAGCTAAAAAATAAAGCTTCCTGATTTTTGCTGTCAGGCCTTCGGAGATAAATACCGGCGTGGATGTATTGTTTCTTTTTAAGTGCGTTGTGTTAAATGTATTTCCAGGATTGTCTTTGTTGAACTTTTTTACGGATTTTGTGAAATTTTCCTTCACGAGTATACCACTAAAGTGTACTATTACAGGTTTTTGATTAATGGCTTTAGTATTTGTTTGTTATTTTTGTTGTTGCATGTTGATTCTATAGACACCACTGATATTTTTTTGTCTATGGGTAGATTTATTAAATTTCTTGTCTCTTGTACGATTTTCAGTAAGTCGTAGACAGAGAAACCTATAGACTAATGATCGGCGTGGCCTCGAGTGAGAAATGACGATAACGAATTTTTAGGTTATACAATAATCTTTATGACTTTTAAACACATTTAGATAAAAAATTTAATTGTTCTAAGAACTGAACTGAACAAGATTCACCAATCTTAGGCTCACAAAACACTTTTTTCTCACTTAAACCAACTTGTAAACTCCTTAAATCACTACGCTTTCAAAGTTGTTTAGCAAACTGTAGAGTTTGCTAAACAAAAAAACCGGCACTGAGAAAGGGACAAACAATCACACCGCTCTATCTCATTTCTATGCAAGACGTATGCATAAATCTATCTTTTTCGTGTGCGATTGCGAAAGAAGGCGTCAATTTGTTTATAGGTTTCTCTGTCTACGCAGTAAGTCATCTTATGTCTACTTCGGGTTAGGTGTTATGTTACGTATTTCAACTGTTGTGGCCTGTGAGTTACGTTCTAAAATGTCAATTTTAGATTCCAGTGAGTTAATATACTCTAGTTGGTGCTTATTTTCATTTTCCAAAGAACCGACTTTTGAGTAAGTTCATCATACTTTTGGGCTAAAAAGTCAATGGATTTTTGAATATCTGTATTTTGTTCCTTGATCTCTTTTATCGTGGATAACAGAGTACAATAACTATTATCTTGTTCGGTTTTCCAAGAAAGGCACATATGTGTAAGATCATTTTTAAGGTTAATTAGTTCATCGCTAGAGTCTTTTCTTTTGCGTTTGATCATCATCATTACATTGCAACGCTTATTTGGCTTGGCTCGTCTTCTTGTACCTGAGCGATAGCCATGTTTGGCTTCGATTCACTATGTTGATGACTTGTACACGTTACTTTAGATGCGTACGGTGGAGTACGTTTTAGTGGCATCATAACTTTGCGCTCGCTTGTATCAAGGTAACGGAAGAATACAGGATGTATTAACCACCACTGTCACAGGTTAGAATACACACTCTGATGCGCTCTCTATTACCAGAATAGCAGGGAAATGCAGAGGGTATGCGCCTTGCAGATATCGCAGCCGTGGGATGACATACGTGCCCTGCTTCGCACGTTGTTACAAGGCGACCAACAAAATACGTGAGATATGTCCCTTATTGAAAACGATGTCACATGGTCACTCTTTCACATGCTTAATGCAGCTGCAGGTACTAGGAAATAAGAAATGTATCCCAATGACAATGGCGCTTTCGCACGCGCAAATTAATGTACATTGTAAACTGCAAGGAAGTACCAGAATAACCGGAGAAGTATGATGCTAATGACGCCGTCGAACGATGAGAGCTCTCACTTGCCTTTATGTGCCCGCTATTAAAATTAAAATTAAAAATTGTTTATTGCGTTTCAAAAGGTAGTAACAAACAAGTGGCAAGGGCCCCTGTACTGGGTTGGTAAAACCTGTGTTACGGGGTACCCCGCTCTTCCAACATATAAATTTTAACAATTTGAAACATAGGATATTATATATTATATTCGTGCTTTAACAATCCTTAAGACATGAATTGATGACATTTTTGATACTTAAGAAAGAGTGAGAGTGTGTGTGTGTGTGTGTGTGTATGTGTTTTTTTTTTTCTTAAATTTGGTTTTACAATATGGAATATTGAAAACAGGTAAAATTCTACGTTTTAGTGTCTGAGGGGCAGTGTATGGTAAAGTGCTGTGGGTTCGAATGGAACTCTTTAAAATGTACATTTGGCGGGTTGTTAAGATTTTGTAAGAATTGTGTAGTTCATGAGTTGGGAAACGGATTGGTTTAAAGAACATCACTTTCAGTAATGCTCTCTGAGCTCTTTCAAGAGTTATTAAATAGGACTTAGCTGCTCCACCCCACGCTGTAATGCAGTAGCTTAAAACAGATTGGGCTAGTGCTTTATACGTACATATAAGGATTTTATTATCTGCGACATGTCTGAGCCTTCTAAAAACCCACATAAGCTTTCTTACCTTGTCAATGGTACACTCAATTTGTTTGTTCCATATAAGATGCTGGTCAATAGTGATACCTAGATATTTAATAGTAGACGATCTAGCAATATCAACACATTGACAATTTTTCGCCTGGTGTTGGGAGCAGCTATGAATTTTGAGAGCAAAGTCCGAGTGTGGTAAGGTAGATTTTCGTATCGTAAAAGGAACAAATTGGGTTTTTGATACATTAAGTGTTAATAGATGTGATCTTAAGTAATTTGATATATGTCGTAATCCTGATTCAGTCGTAATTCTAAGAGAATCCCAACTCTTTTCACTGAAAATCAGCGCGGTATCATCCGCATAGGTAAATATATCGCAATTGGGAAGTTTGAGACTACAGAGGTCATTCACATATATCAAAAACAATGTCGGTCCGAGTACACTGCCTTGTGGAACGCCGTAAGTAATGGGAGATGACTGGCTGATAACGTCACCAAGTTTTAGATGCTGTAGGCGATTCGTTAGGTAGTCTGTGAATAGCTTATGGGGTGTCCCTCTTATGCCAATGTGATAAAGCTTATGTAATAATATTGGAATTGAAACAGAGTCGAACGCCTTTGCAAGATCCAGGAAGACGCCGACACATTTATAGCCTGCATCTAGGTGCTTACAGATAGTGTCGGAAAGTGCCAGAACTGCGTCTTCAGTGGAGACGCCATTTCTGAAGCCAAATTGATTATTTGATAGCAAGCTGTTTTTGTAAAGGAATTCGTTAATGCGGTTGTTAATGAGCTTTTCCAAAATTTTTGCCAGAACTAGAAGTACAGAGATAGGCCTATAATTTTCAATTTCATCTTTATTTCCACTTTTATAGATGGGTGTAACAATAGCTTTTTTGAAAACAGAGGGGAAACAGCCTTTGTCGAAACAGAGGTTATACACATGACAAAGGACGGGGGTGAGATAATTTTTGGCCATTTTAATAAAAGTAGTAGGAATGTTATCCCACCCGGGGGGCGGAGTTGTTAGATAAGTTATAGATGATTGTATTAATTTCTGCTGTATCTGTTGCTAAAAGAACTAAAGAATTGCATGACACAGGACATTTAATATTATTTAGGCCACGAATAGAATTATAAGACACAGGGGACGATAATAAGTTTTCAGCCAGACGTTTACCTAAGTTAGAGAAGTAATTATTAGCACAATTTGCAGCTTCCATCGGTGTGGATTTAAGTGAGAGTAGGTTATGTATGTAGTCATTTTTATTATTGTTTATATTACATATAGATTTTATAGTTTTCCACAGTAATTTAGGATTTTTATTAGCTCTCGTTAAATTGTTTCTTTCGTGCATTATTTTAAGTTTTCGAACAAGTTTACTACAATAATTTCTATAACGTGTATAGGTTACTTTCAAGATTTCATTAAACGGATACTTTTTTAGTTTTAGATGAAGTTTGTCGCGATTGCGAAGGCAACGTAAAACTCCAGAGGTTATCCAGGGCTTGAAGAGACTTTTCTTGAAGAGACACTTTTTATAGTTTGGTTGTTTTTAATCGCAGTGGAGATTTTATTAACCAAAACCTGGGCAGCTTCAGAAGGGTCTGTTATTGTTAATATATCAGGTAAGTCCGCCTTAATGTCATTCAAAGTGGAATCAAAATTGATTGAATCTTTGGTTTTTAGTGCCAGATTGCGTCGCAGAGGTTCAAACATCACATCAAGAATGACTTTACAGTGGTCAGTGGTAGGGTTAGTAAGAACAAGTGATTTAGCAGGGTGAGACGTTTTCAGCATCATGTGATCATAGCTCATTTTATCACGGTTTGGGAGTCTGTGAGCTGGGAGTATCCCATAATAAGCGAGTGATGTTAAATAGTTATGACAGTTTGGATCTTTAGAGTGGATTTTGATGTCGATGTTTATGTCACCCGTTATAATAATATTCGGATAGCATTATATTGTATGAGAAGAGATTGAAGGGATGATATGAATTCGTCAGTATTTCTAATAGATGGAGTGCGATAAATGCCGATTATAACAGTATCGTAAAGAGTCAAAACAAGGCAGGACGCGTTTGTAATGTTCGGTTCAAATACATTGATGCTTAGATTATTTTTTACATAAAATACTACGCCTTCACATTGGTTTAAGATATTTTTTGTAAATTGTGTGTTATAATTATCATTTAGTTTGGGAATACTTTTTATTTTTGAGAGATGACATTCAGTCATAACTAGCACGTCGAAATCGGTTTTAGTTGAGTGGAGCATAGCTTGAAAAATATCAAGATTTTTGTATATACTCCTTATGTTTTGGGTAAGAATGGTTAGTTGACTTTTTGTAGAGATGTGTAAATAACACTCTTCAGGCGTGCAAGTGACGGCCTGAGCTATACTAATATTTTCTATAACATTATAGGGATGGGACAAATTATCCATAAAAAATTAGGTAATTTTTTTGTGTGTAGTGAATTTGTCTAACAGGTATTAATTTAATATCATTTGTATAAAGGAGTTGTAGGTAGCTGATTACCACGAAAGAATAAAAGTGAAAAATAATATTCCTACATTGGTTATTCCAGACTCTCAGATCAAAGTTAATTATTGCAATCAATCTACAGTGTGACTGCAAGGTATTGTGTTTAGCTAGCAAAACAGAACTTTTATGGAGAGGTGTGTGAGTGTAATATATGTTTGTGTGTTGGAGTAAGTGTTAAGGTAAATGTGAGACAAGAAAAGTGTGTAAGTTATGAATGAGCAACTGGCAAAAACAGAGTTAACAGAACATAGGTGCAACATACAGCTAAAAAAGTTAAGTATATATCCTATAATAATTGCATGAACACTTTGAAAAACATGGGTCCACATGAAACTAAGTACACAGATCATACATAGTCATTTGTTGGCCTCATAAATACCTTTTATTTGTGCTTCATTCATAATTTTTATGATCGGGGATGAGTCATTTTTCCGCACCAAAACTTCACCTACCGAGGTCCAGCAATATTTATACTTCAGCTATTAGTACCAGGGCCACCGAAGATGCAGAAGGTGTGTTGTTTCTCAGTCGCTCGGTGATTTGCTGAGTGGTGACACGCCCCCGTACTGACACGAGACTCGTAGATGTTGACTTACAAAAGTTTTAATTTTTATGAGTTGATTTTTCTTTAAGATTTCTATACTGATATTTATATTTATTATATTTAACAACTCTTACATTGCATTCAAAATTAAACTTACAAATCATTTATCATCGAGTTCCTGATATAAATTACATCTTCAATATATCTTATACGTAAATAAAAAAATGTACATACTCCTGAAGAGAGTATAATATCTAATAATTTTAAAAATAATTTATTTGAACAGTTCAAATTTCATTGTATTGATAGGATGATATTTGTACTCAAAATTAACTCAAAATTGCACGACTCAATATGTGAATGTTATGTACACTTGCTATAGATATACAAATCAGAGAATATAGAAATGTGTATGTTTTTGTGAATGTCACATATGTGTATTGTAAGTGTACTTGTTAAGTAAAATATATATATATATATATATATATATATATAATTGACACGTCTGACCACCTCAGATGCCGAGGGGTGAGGACTCTATGAAATAGCTTGTAAAAATATGACAGTTTGATTAATTTTTTTATGTGACAATGTTTTAATTATTATTGTAATGTGTTTTGTTGTATTTTAAGTGAAACTTAATTGTATGATGATATTATTATGGGCCATAAAGATATTGCTTAGTAAGTGGAATAGAGATACTAAAAATTTGTATCTAGCTTAGATCGATATGGCGCATGGTGCGCACTAACTCAAACATCCCAGCAATTATTAATTATTATTAAGTTTAGTTTTATACTAGGCTGCACTAAAAGTGTCGGGAATGGAATATTTCCACTGTTCCTGTTATATTAAAATCTTTTTAATTGAAAACTCCTTGGTTTTAAAACTCAAATACCATTTATTTATTTAAAAAAAAGATTCTCGGTCTTGTCACAAGGTTTTGTCAAACTTGTTTAGTCATTGAGAAAATGGAATTGACTCGAGAAAATTCAAGAGCGATGATTTATTACGACTTTCGAAGTGGCTTAACACAAAAGCAGTGTGTTTATCGGATGATTTCTGCATTTGGTGATGAAGCCCCATCCAAAACCACAATTTATCTCTGGTTTGCTGAATTTCAACGTGGACGTGTCAAGCTCAGTGATGATCCCCGTCAAGGTCGTCCAAAAACTGCAGTCACCCAAGAAAACGTTGATGCTGTGCGTAAGCTGATTGAGGAAGATCGACATGTGACATACCGCGAAATTCAGGCTTCTTTAAACATTGGCATGAGTCAAATACAAATAATCTTGCATGAACAACTAGGTGTAAAAAAGTTGTTTTCCCGATGGATACCGCATTCGCTCTGTGAAGAGCAAAAAAGCGGCTCGCGTTACTTGGTGCGTCAGAACTCTCGAAAGATTCCACGCAGGATCCTCAAGTACTATATACAATATTGTATCAGGTGACAAATCCTGGATATATGCGTACGAACCCGAAACAAAAAACCAGTCACGAGTTTGGGTGTTCGAAAATGAGTTAAAGCCAACAAAAATTGTTCGTTCACGGAGTGTTGCAAAAAAAATGGTGGCCACGCTTGTCTCCAAAACCGGCCATATTACGACTATTCCTCTTGAGGGACAAAGAACGGGGCTAATATTTCGGATATGGACCATCGATTTCAAAGCCCATATTTTTTTGTATATAGTACTCACTAAAAGAAAGCGTTTTGCAAAGTTTTAGGTTGCGAAAACTTACGGTTCATGAGATATACTCGTATTTTTTAAACTTTTCATACAAATTGGTAAATAACACGCAATTACAAAATAAATTTGACAAATGATTGATGTCAAACGTCAGTTAGTGTAAGGTTCCGAATATTTTGAAAGTATCGATACCTACTCGATACCAAGTATCGTATCATAAGTATCAATACTACTTGGTATTGAGTAGAGAGATTTCGTTAATTTTGGAGACGAAAAATTATGACAAACTAATTAGATGCATAGGAAAAGCTGATAAGTGCAATTATATATGTATATAAAGTAGAATAAAGTTTACTCTATTTAAGTTCCACCTTAGTACTTGTATTTCACTGTTTGCAACTTGTTTGTATTTCTTAATTAGTACAGTTTTTGTACTTTTATTTTATTGTTTGCAACTTTCTGTATTATCTAATTCTTACTACAATAAAGTGTTTACTTACTTATTGACTTACTTATTTAATATCCAAAAAGTACCCAAAACCGAATCAGAGCACCCCACTATCCACGTGGTCTTGTCTGCCCTACCCCTAGAGTGTATATAAGAGCCCGGAGGTGCGGAGGGAGAGCAGTGTCCGCCCGCCGCTCAGGTGCCTGTCACACTGCTCTCCCGCTGCCACGGAGCGCCGGAGTACAACTTCCGGGCTTCTTACACCACTAGTCTCCAAAATTAATGAAATGTACTCGATACCAAGTAGTATTGATACTTTTGATACGATACTTGGTATCGAGTACGTATCGATACTTTCAAAATATTTGGAACCCTACACTAATTGACGTTTGACATCAATCGATTGTCAAATTTATTTTGTAATTGGTGTAATTGCCTGTTATTTGCCAATTTGTATGAAAAGTTTAAAAAATATATCTCATGAACCGTAAGTTTCCGCAACCTAAAACTTTGCAAAACGCTTTCTTTTAGTGAGTACCATCTACAAAAAAAATATGGGCTTTGAAATCGATGGTCCATATTGGAAATATTAACCAAGAACGGTTAATGCAGAATGGTATGCTAGCATTTGTTTTTTTTTATTTTTATTTATTATTTATTAATGAATTTATAAGACAGTGGTGTTACTTAATTCTAAACCCGCGAAACTTTTACGTTTGATGGCGAGAGGCGCTCTTTTACACATAGCAATGAACCACCTTATGTACTCCTAATATTGGACACAATAATACACAATTATATAGATAAAATATTAATTTATATACCTATTACTTCTTGTTTTTAAGTTAATTTTATGATCTATATATATATATATATATATATATATATATATATATACAATATGTAACGTAATTAATGCACACCCTCAGACACCCCAATTAGTATTGTTGCGCGGCTAAGTTGACATCTCATCTCATGGCACTAGCGCCATCTAGTGTCGGATAACAGAGCGAGGAGAGAGCTTTCCAGAAAATGACATGACTAATTTTTTTAACCGACAGCGACATCTAGTATCAAATTGAAGAACTAAACGTTCTAGAAGCTCTACACTCGAACTTTCTGCGCTTGGTCGGTTGGCGCGTGTATTTACTTGAATATTCTGGAATATTCTGGATATTTTCGTGGAAGAGCCCTATATAAAGGCGCTGCAATACGCGATCGGGGGAAGTATTGAATTTGGCGAGACAAACGAAGCTTCGGAGCGAAATAAAGTTAATCAGTGTGATTAATTATTGGTGTTTTAAATTTTAATTTGTGTAAAGAAAATTAAAGTGTTAATTTAGGTAATTCTATCGGCAATTTTTATTGTCACAAACCTCAAGCTCGTAACAATTGGTGTCAGAAGTGGGATAAAATCATGCCGATTTTACCTAAGAAGGAAACGGAGGGTGTCCGTACCCGCAGTCAACGCCAGCATGAGAAGCACCAGAGGAGATTTGGTGGTGCAACGCCGCAGACTTCGGAGGGCCAACGGCCAGCCACGGAGGCTGCGGGCCCGTCAGTAGCTCCTACATCTGCAGCACCTGACTTAGGT